CTCCCTCCAGGGTCTGCCTTGAATACTTGGGTTCCCGCTACACACTGTCATGGTCTCGGCGCCATTCCGTAATCTAAGGTTCGCAGTCTTCGGTCCCAGCCCCGCGTTGCAGAGCTTTGAAGACAAGCGATAGAGTTGCCGGGTTTCGGGACGGGCTGAGGGACAATTAACCCACCTGAAACCTCTACGTGAACACCAGCTTCTCCGTTGTTTCTGCATGTATTCATTCCCTTGGAGTGACAGGCCGGGCAAGCACCGGGCCAGAGCCCTAGACGGGCTACATTCTACCCAGAAGCATGGCAGTGCCCAGGCGAGAGTTCAGAGGGAGTAATTCCTGGGACCATGAAGACCCACGGAGAAAGCTAGGTGGCTGGCGGCCTCGAGGAAGGAGACCGGCTTTCCAACCTGCGTGAGTGGGGAGAGGCGCCAGTTCTTGCCAACAGGACTGTCAGTGACGTCTAATACACCTGCCAGCACTGGTTTCAAGGGCTCCCTGTAAAATTCGGCTCCCCCTCTCCTTTCGTCTAGCCTCCGCTCTCCAGTTCCTTCCTAGGGTGGCTCAGGAAACCCTTCGCCCTGCCGCCTAAGATGGCCGGAAGGTAAAGGGTAAGTACCCACGTGGAGATGGTCCGAAACCGGCAGCCCCAGCTTTGGGACCTCACACTCTCAGGGTCGCTGACTGAACCTATGAAGTCTTCATACACTCCTCATGCTCTTACCTGAGGGCTGCCAAGTCTGGTGGGGTAAGTTCCAGGCCCTAAGTCCTGCTTTCCCTCAGCTCAGTTTGAGCTCTGGCGAGTCCCCCCAGTAGTTAACTGTTCTCGTCTGCCTGCTGTCACCCCAGAACAGCCTGCTAGGATCTCTGGGCTGTCAAACCATTTTGTCCCACACCCCAGTCCAGTTATGTGATTTGTGGGACCAGGCCCTACTTAATACCCAACCTGCATACACTGCAATGAAGAGTTCAGCTGTTTTTTCTTTCCCGGGGGTCCCTGGCCACACAATGCCATAGGATAGCACTAGGCAGCCCAGCCCAAGCCTTTCAGGTGGATGAGTAGGCAACAAGGACTGATCTTCTGGTATACTTCCTTTTCTAATTCTTGTCGCCTTCCTTTTGGACCCTAGCTTTCCCACCACCCTCCCTCCTCCCCAAGTCCTTCAGGCGCCTCCTTCTTGCCTGGTCTCAGGCACCACTTAATGTGCACTGAGGATGAGGCATAAATCTTTTATAGAAGATTATGGAAGCTCTGAACTCTCTTCCTAGAGAAGTTACATTACAATATCAGAGAGTTAACAGACATTGTGCAGTCTCATCAGAGGACCCCATTTTTAGAATCCAAAAACTAAGGTTAAATGGTTGATCATTGTTTTAACTTTGGTGGAAATGTTTTACACTTTAACAGAAGTTAAACTTGACATTGAAATATTGAGTTCTAAGATGTAACTTTGGGTAGTCACAGTTTGAAAAAAAAAATTGGGCATGAAAGGAGAGAAGATAGTCTTAGTGAATTAGTGATACTCTTAGTGATGGTACCCCCTAAGGAAGAACCCTGACATCCTAAATTTTGCTCTTCTTCAGCCTCCACATACAATTAGTTATTGAGTCTTATTGTTTCTTTATCCTAAATGTGTCTTGAATTTGTCCCCTCCTCTCCACCTCTTCTACAAATACCCTGGTGCAAATCTTGGACATTTCCACAACCAACCCTTGCCAAACTCCACATACACTCACTCTCTGATCCCTTGTGTTACTTTTCTGCGTAGCATTTATTAGCATAATACAATTTCATTTTTATTTTGTGATGTGTATTCATTGTTGCTCCCTCCCCTACCCCAGTATAAACTCCCGAAGAAAGAGATTTTCTCCCACTTTATCCCTTGCTCTGTTCCCACAACCCAGAACTATGCCTGGTAGAGTAGTTGTTTAATAGAACAGATGGCACATTTTTTCTTGGTCTGAAGACTTTAGACTTATTTTGCCTCACCCAGAAAACCTTCCCTCACCATTCTACCTACAGGCGGATGAAATGCCACTTCCCAGTGTTCCCACAGCACCCTGTTGTCTTGTCACTGCTCTTAGTGTATTGGTTTGTGATTATGTTTTCCTGTGAGTGTTTAAAAAGAGGCTGTGCCTATTCTATTCCTCTGGTATAGTTGGTCCAGTCCAGGGGTTGGCACAAACGTGGTTTCACCCGTGCTGCAATTACTTGTTTGACCTGTCATCTGGAGATAGCAACTCCTTTAAGCCAACAATTTTGCTTAGACTCTAACAATGGTTCCTGGGCCAAACATTGGTGTCTAGACCTTCCTTCCAAGGACGTTTAGGACGTGCAGACAGCCCACGGATCCTACCTTTTGTCTTCTCCCCAGCATTTACTTCTACCCTCACCAGCCTGGCTTCATTGCAGCAGAAACGCCCCCTGTGCTTTCACACCAGAATCTCTGGAGACCCCACTGAGAATGGCGTTCCCTTTTACTTCTACTCCTTATCAATCCACAAGATCTCGGCCCTTCAGCGCCCACCAGCAGGAAACCAGATAGCGCCTGACCAGCTGTCTCCTCTTGCTAACTCCTAACCTTGATTGCCTACTTGTGGAGAGGAATAGCAGTAACTCTGGTCAAGGACCTGATCAGGGCCTGCACTTAGAAGCCGCACCCACCACCCATTCACAAGAAAAGGGGCCCAAAGGCAAAAGAGAGCAAAATAAACCGGCTTCCGGTTCTAGGTAGTTCCTAGTTCCTAGTGGGGTACGCTTCAGCTTGGCAAAGGAAGGCGTAAGACTGCGCAAATTCCTGCCAGGTCAGAGGGTGGCCACCTTAGCATGAATTCTGGGTTATTCCATCACAGATAATGGAACGCTTGTGGATCTAGGATAAAAACAATTTAAAAGACATCCATTCAGCAACAAAACGAAGCCCTTCCTCAAAGCCAAATGAAGGCACCGCTGGGATTCGAACCCAGGATCTCCTGTTTACTAGACAGGCGCTTTAACCAACTAAGCCACGGCGCCAAGGCTGTCTGCTGATTCTTGGAAACTGCCCTACAGGAGTATACTGCTTAGGGCCTAGCCATGGCGTGCAGATCGTTCTAAAACTAATTTGGTGAATCTACAGGTTTTGCTCTATCCACCCATCCATTCAAAGGAATTGCCCATTATTAAAAGGTATACATCATAGGTCTCACCAGAATTTCCCCACGGTAAATTGTCGGCACACTACCCGAGGCTAGGCTTCCAGAATGGGTAATTTTTCGGGGGACGACTGGACCTAAGAGAAATGTTGTCAGTGAGTTGAAAGAAAACTATGCGTAGTCGGCAGGATTCGAACCTGCGCGGGGAGACCCCAATGGATTTCTAGTCCATCGCCTTAACCACTCGGCCACGACTACACAGCTCCGGCAAAAGGCTCTTGTTCTGTACCTTTCTTAGCTTCCAAGCACCGTAACACCTCACCCTACCCAAAATTCTTTTCTGCTCTGGGCCTGGAAGGGCCAACCGACCTGGATTGGGAAACCGAACGGTACGAATGCCAAAATAGTACAGCATTTCGTTCACCGCCTCGCGTCACTCCTGTCTGCCTTTCTGGAATTCTTATCTTGGATCTAGCAACGCGCTTTCAGGGACGAAAAGTCGCGGCAGAAGGTTCTCTCCACCCCAGCCATGGAACTTTCTAACCTTAAGCCTTGTAGTGCGCAAGGAATTGAGGTTGTTTAGAAACAGTCGATAGGATGTAGTTTTGTTTTCGGATTGAAACTTCTCGGTAAAAGAAACAAGTTAGGAAAAAACAAAAAAAGAGGTAATCCCGTGTGGCCCGTACGGGGATCGAACCCGCGACCTTGGCGTTATTAGCACCACGCTCTAACCAACTGAGCTAACCGGCCCCCTAGGTACTTGTTCCTGTGTGTTTTCCTATATGTAGTAACTCTAAATGTAAGTGCGTGATAATTATTTCAAGCCTGCCCTCAAACGCAAACTAGACTTGCTCCTTTATGGCCAAAACCCAGTACCTTCTGAATAGCTTTAAGAACTATGGCTTACCCTTACCTCTTTACTAAGGAAATAAATGGGGGAACACCAGCTAAATACATGAGCACCCCAAAATAATTGCTCCTGCAACCCCTCTGTACGGGTTCTGATTTGGAGTTTTTGCAGGTCACATGGTGTTGATCAATCTGCCTTAGGCCTGGCCAGTGGGGTACTCAAAGCACTGACCTCTGAGTGGGTTCCGGGCACCCTTTCCTCACACACCCTCACATGCCCCTCCTGGTGCCTGGCACCTCCTTCTCCTCATATTCATCTTGTGCCTGCCAACAACTCTAGAGTCTCATTCTTAACTGCTTGGGACAAACCTCGCTGAATTGTGACCATCACAGCCATTGTCTGCCCTGCCCCCACACCCTAATTTACTTTCCTTTAAGGTTCCTGACTCCTGCTATCATTTCCTCTGCTCTTTGAGTGCAGACTGCACCTCTCCTCTAAACCTCTTTCCAGCTCTGGCACTGGTGGCAAATAACAGTAAAAATGACAGTAAATAATGGGCCAGCTGCTAGCAGATCAGGAGGCCTTGGACCCTAGTAATGAACACAAGTGAGAAATACCACTGGAGAGTTTTTTTGCAGGCCAAGAACCTATCATGGGCATGCCCCACAAAGCACAAGTCTTTTATTTCTCTGGTCTCTGGCACAAAGGGAGGATCCAGGTGCTCAGGGTTATCTATGAACACAGGTGCCTTGACCCCTACCAGAGAGGAAATATGAACAGCACCATAATTTGCCCGTCTTTACAATTTCCTCCACAAGGCAGGCTGATTCCAGGATGTTAGGTCCTTCACCTAGGACCAAGGAGGAGAAATTACAGTGAGCAGCAGTTTGCGAATCCAAGGATCTATGCTCCTCGTTCAAGCACAGAGAAAGCAGGAGCAACACAGGGGAAGAGCTAGGACCCAGGCCTTCAGGTTTTCAGCAAAGCAGGGCAAAGTTTCAGTCATTCTTGTAGTGTAGGCTAACAGGAGGAAGCAAAGGCCCCCAGAGAGCAGGGGTACTCTGGCTCCCGAACAGAGATGCATGACAGCTGAAGTCTGGGATTCACACGGGTCAGGAGAGGGAGATCTCCACATTGGAAACGCTGTAGTCGGGGAGGTTCTAAATGGGAAGAGAAAAAAAAAAAAAACATGCCCCACGTATGTGGTTTTAGTCCCATTCACCATCCTCCTTCCCAACTCCAGAAATCCCCAATTGTTCGTCCCTCTGTTCCTGAGGAGCCAGCTATCTGCCCACCTCCCGCCAACTCCACCCTTACCAGATGGGAGGATCTTGGAGGGCTTCCTCTCAAGCTCAAAAGAAAGTACGATAGGGCGGAGGACAGAGAGGCTGGTACAGAGTGTCCACAGAAAGAGGGTCACGGGCTCATCAGTCTTGGCTGAGGACTAGAAAGGGAAACTCAGGATGAATCGGAGCCCAAGCTCCAAACCCTCTACCAACCCAAACCTCCAGGCATCTGGGTCTCTGAGCCCCCCACCCCCTAGTGACATCTCACCTCAAGTTGGGCGCCGGGCCCTGTAAAGTACAAGACCACTCTCCCCGGCACTCGAACACACTCCAGGAGGGAGGTCCACTCACTGGGACACAGCCCTAGTGCTGCCGCCACATGATGGTCCCTACAGGTCACCACAGCCTCAGCAGTCCCATCTTCCACCAGGAGCCTTGGGGGAAGGGGAAAGGAGCAGGGGAGCAAAGTTACTCACTCCCACAGCACATACAGGGGCCAGTCTCCTGGACCCAAAATGCTTCCCTACCCCAACTGTTTCCAGTCTGCAGCTCACCTTACCCTCATTCCAAAAATATGACACAATTCCCATGAGCTAGGAACTTTGCTGGCACAGGGATAACAAGACAGATATAGTCCCCATTTTTGCCACAAAAGTATGGCAAGTCATACAATCAACTGGGAAGTAAACGGTGCAAGGGGAGCCCACCTTGTGCTCTCACCTGATTCGGGCCTGGCTGATGGATGTCTGAGTAGGGCAAGCTGGGCCTCGATGAGTACACCTTTCCTGGGATGAAGAAAGTGGTTGGAAGAAAAATCCTCTTGGTCCTACCTAATTCTTCTGGCACCCTGCACCCAGCTCAGTCTGGCCTCTCACATACCTGGCGGCAGAGGCTGGTACAATGAGTACACACCCAGAGAAGCTGAAGGCTCAAGACTGAAACAATATGACAAGAGGCAGTGGCCTGGAATGGGGCCTGGTGACCCTGCAGAAGTTGAGCCAGGTAGATGTGGGGCAAGGGAGTGCTAGAGAAAGAGAGACAGGGGTCAAGTAACAGCCAAAGGGGTTCTAAACACAGGGTGAGTCTGGAAGGAGCTAACAGGCATGGGAACAGGGATAGCAGTAGGTACCAGCGCTCTCAGAATCCCCCAATGCCCCTCTCTTTGATTGCTGATCTCCGATTGTCCTCATTCATTTCATCTTGAATAACCAAGATGTTAGCCAAGAAAGAGATATTTGCTTATTTCCACCTTAGAATAAAAAGCTGGCAAGGCCTAGAGCACTATATCTTTCTGACTAAACTGACAGGTATGGGGCATATTTTACTTAGAGCAGAGGATATCCTTCTGACAACACATTCTGCTGGGATTGGAGAAGACTGTAAATATGGCAAAAATTCCAAAGATAGGGACATGTGCATGTGAGGAAGGGAAGTTAGGAATCAGGACTTGGGGTACTGACCTGATGGTGGTCTCTGGGGGAAAGCTCAGGACCCGCATGTAAGTGGACGACTGGAAACAGCAGTAAACATTGTGGGATCTGCATGTGCAGGGGAAAGAGTGATGATGAGGAGTAAAGAAGTCAAACTGGGGTAGAAGCTGGAACCTCAGAGATTATGTATCACAGGCTTGGCCACTCCCCCTGAAGATGGGCCTTGGCTCTAACAAAGCTGAGGGAAGAACAAGGGAAGGGTTGGTCTAGAACTTCTCCATGGGGATGAAGGAGATCAAGGTAAGACTAACGTACCAAAAGCTGTCAAAGAAAGATTCACTGTAGTGTAGGTAAGTGGGAATAAACATGAAAGATTCACTGTAGTGCAGGTGAGTGGGAGTAAACATGAAAGAGAACCACTGTAACTGTTCCACAACATGGTGAATACAGTTAACGTCACAAAATTGTCCACAAACATGGTTGAAATGTTTTGTTACATGTACGCCACCAAAATTAAAACTTCTAAAATTTTAGAAGAAAGAACCACATTGATAGAGGGAGGAGACAGTCTCATAACCTAGCTCTTCACCTGGAAACTCTTTTTTCCAGCTGTTTAAAGTAGACTCGAGCTCCTGGAAGGAGTCCTAGTGGAATAGGCAGGTGTCGGTCAATATATATGCACAGGTGAGGGGGAAATTCACAGCCAGCAGTGTCTACAGCTACGGTTAGCTTCACACACCCTCTCACAGCTCCTGTGCTCCCTGCAAAAGGAAAGGGGAGAGTCAGCCGTGTCTGTTGGGACCACAAGGTCCCACCATTCTATTTCACACTTTCCCCCCAGAGGAGGTGTCATTACCATGCTTTGTCCAGTGAGGGGCTGGAAATGGCTTACACAGAGTCCGTGACAAAATCTCAGCTGAGAAAGACACCAAACCTGTTAAGCTGGAGGGTCAGAGAAAACACTGAGAAAGGAGGTGTAAGGAGGCATAGAATGAAGAGTCAGGTCAAAAGTTAGAAAAAGGAACTAAAGTACAGGCATTTCCTCTAGAACACCATAGAGGAGGCCCTGAAAAACCTCCTGCTTTGCCAAATGGCACAGTAAAAGTAACAGGACTTAGGGGAAAAAATATAGTGTGGCAAATGACTCCAAACCTACACAACTCTGTAACCAGAGCCCTCACAAAAAATTGTAGTATGGCTAAATTTCCATTTGAATTCACACTTAAAACTCGTAGTCCATCATTATACCCTGGGCTCACACCCCCTCCTTCAATGTAAGCTACCCAAGAAGCTTACCTGAGGAAAGTATAGTTATTCCTGATGCCATAAACCAGCCACTTCTTGCACTAATGGAAGACCCTTCTTAGATTTTCAGCTTTTTTCCTTATATTTCCTTTTTTTTTTTTTTCATTTCCCTTTATTTGCTAAGCCCTTTCCTTAACTGGGAAGGAGCCCTGGTGACACAGTGGTTAAGTGCTTGCCTGCTAATGGAAAGGTCAGTGATTTGAACCCACCCAGAGACTCTGTGGGAGAAAGATGTGGCAGTCTGCTTCCATAGAGACTTCAGCCTTGGAAACCCTATGGGACAGTCCTACTCTGTCCTACAGCATTGCAATGAGCCAGAATCCACTGAACAGCAATGGGTTTGGTTAACTGTTGGAAAGCCTGCTCACGATCACTCCAAAATGAACATGCTGGGAAAAATCAGGTATGAAAAATGACTTCCATCTTACACTGACACCAATCCCCTATAAGCAAAATCACATCCTGTAAAGAAACACATGCTGTGGCAGACAACAAACTGTTTGCCAAAGTCGATCACAGAATCGGCTGGAGGGGCCTGATTTACTTGTCATTGAGGAGGTCACTCAGTGAGGGTTCAGGAAGTATCTTGTTTATATCCAGTGCATCTGGAACGTCCTGGGGGTGCTCAAGCTCCAGCGTCCACTCATCCTGGACAGTGAGGCAGGATGCACAGCCAGCCAACTCCAAAGGCCGCTGAGATATGCAGGATGAACCATCCTCCTTGAACAACGTTGGTGTCTGCCAGGAAATGGGAAGATGACGGCCTGAGCGTGTTCTACTGCTGAGGGGAGGGTTATATAATACCATGACCCAAGTCGGCCGGCTTTCTGGAGACTGGTGAAGGAAGTGATCTAAACACAGGCAGGCCTTCTATTATCTCTAAATCTAGCCTTCTTCTAGGAATCTTAGAAAGTGATGAGGCACTGGCTTACCCTCCCTAAACCTCAACATAAAAAAGCTTTCTGAGGAAGAGTACGACGATGTATGGTACTCACAGGGGGGCCTGGAGCCACAAGTCGGTACACTTGCCCTGGGTGTAAGAACTCAAACCAGCGGACTGATGGGCCAAAGAAGATGAGGAGAACCTGTGATGAGGAAGAGTAGGGAGCTGAGTGGTTCCAGTCAGGAGCTGAGCACAGAAGGGCAGGTCCTAGGTCCCTGAAATCTCACTTTACCTTCTGATTCCTGTTCTCATCTCCCTGGAGCTCAGGTGGGCCCCATCCAGTCCCCTCCTTCCTCTGGGTGCTCCCAAGCCAGCTCCCTGACACGTGGAAACTAAGGGTGGGCTTGGGCACCTCTAGACTGGCTCCTGGGGTGGCACAAAAGTTCCGATACATCAGGGCCTCCTTGTGGCATAGCAAGAACAGCCGGCTCTGTCCTAGGTGGGGTCCATCTGGGTGGGTGGGTTCTGTCTGAGGAAGTCTTGAGGAAGCGGCTGAGCAAGGGAAGGGTCTAGGCATAGGCAGGATCAGGGCATCAGCCAGAAAAAACTGGACATAGACTCTGTTCAGAGAAACAATAGCATTCCTAGCAATGCAAGTGCTAGGGGTTTGAGAGAAAGCATTCCATCCCTTGCCACTTCCCCTTCCCCTCAGAGCCTCAAGAGTATAGACTCTACCCCAAGGATCCAACCTGGCTTGCTGCTTCTGGATGAAGCCTGCCATGCTCAGCTCCCTCCAGGATGGGAAGTTGCTTCTGACATCCCTCTCTACTATCAATTGGAACTTCTCTACCCTCACTAGGCAGCCTGGAGGAAGAAAATTTTATTTTAGGCAAGAGAACTATAGGATAAGCAGTGGAGCCCACCATCCTGCAAGTCTCACTGCTCAACTGCTTAGCCAGCGCTGCTCCCCTAACACAACATGAAGGCCCAGAGCTGACCCCACCTTTGAGGGATCAAGGGAGAAAGCATTCCATTGTCATGTCCAGTATAGCCTCTAGCCTCCAGGCTGACAGGCCTTGATTCTACTTTCTCACAGATCCCTAAAGTGCCCATTAAAGCTAAAAAACTTTTCCTCTCCAGTGTTTCCCTATCTAAAAATCTCTGTAAGTACAAATTAGACCATTATTCTTCCAAACTAAAAATGTGGAAAACAGGAGTTGGAATCTTGGTTTATAACATTAGGATCTATGGTAGGAGAAATGATGTTGAGAACTGTAGTTCTGGTAGGGATCCCCTTTTCCCTATCTGCCAATACTGGTCTACCAAACTGCTCCCAAAAGATGTTGATCAACATGTGCCACTTCTGGGACTCTAGTCAATCCCAGGAGATGCTTCCTCCCAGGCCCTTCAGGTTCCAAGGACTTCTCCCCTGCCACCATCTTCTCTCCACCTCTGAACTCCAAACCTATGAGCCGAGGGTCAGTGATGGGTTGAGAGTGCCTGGCCAGGAGAAGGCAGGGCAGGCAACCACTTTGGTCCCGAAGCTGCAGACAACCTTTATGAGATGACGGTACTAGAACCCCGACTACAACCTAAAGGGAGAAGAAAGCCAAGGATTAAATAATTAGTGAGCATCTCCTATGTGCCAAGAATTGTATTAAATGTTACAGCTACAAAGTGAACAAAAAAGACATGGTAAGGCTTCAAGGAACTTATATTCAGTGGGAAAAATAGACACATATACAAAAATGCAAACATTAAAAAAAAACATGCATTTCACACACTTAGTAGTGGGAGAAAGTAGTACAAATTAAGGATAGAGGTAGATGATGCAGGACCTCACAGGACATAACAAGGAATCTGGGTTTTATTTTACATGCCCCGGGAGAACCATGGAAAGGGTCTGAGCAAGAGTTATGGAGTCCTCATTACATTTTACCCAACTCCATCTCGTTGTTGCAGGGAGAATGAATTAGAGGGAGCAAGAATGAACAGGGCAGTAAAGTTACAGGGCCAGTGCAGTTAAAATGACAAAACATGACAGGAACAGGAGGAATAAATGGAATATGTGGCTAACTGCCTCCATGAACAATGCTTCCTATGCTAATGAGACCAGAAGAACCAGATGGTAAATATTACTGAACATTTTGATCAAAGATTTGATAGAATAATCCTGATCAAAAGGGGGAAAATGTAGAACTGCATTTCAAATTCTCATGGATGCTAGACTTTCTGGAGCCATGGAGGGTAGATGAGCCCCTAAAACTACTCGCCAAGATCATCTTTAAACCTTAAACCAAGACATCAATTAGCAAATGAGGACAACTACAAACCAAAAAGAGAAGAAAAATTGTGTAGTTACAGAACTTCTAAATGGTGAGGAAGTCAAGACAATTGCAAGATAGAATGGACTGTTCTAAACTTGGGAAGAAAACTATATATCACAGGATAACCTCAAAGAAAAATGATAAACCTTGACACCACAATAAAAAAGAGGACAAGTAAAATATTTAAAATACTAAATACTAAAACAATAGCAATGAAGGAAGTGATAACACTATTCATAAACAAAATGAATTCAGCACAGAAAATTAAATGGAACAAAGAAATCAGCAACATCACAAAAAACACCTAACAAAATAAAATAACAGCAACAAATTCATACTTGTCAATAATTACATTGAATGTCAATGGATTAAATGCACCACTCAAGAGACAGAGAGTTGCAGACTGGATAAGAAAACATAACCCATCAATATGCTGTCTACAAGAGACACAACTTAGGGATAAAGACAAAAATAGATTAAAAATCAAAGGTTGGAAAAAGATGTACCAAGCAAATGGCAATCATGAAAGAGCAGGAGTGGCGATATTAATTGACTTTGAGACAAAAACCACCATAAGAGACAAGGAAGGACATTTTTTATGATTAAAGGATCAACTAAATGAAAGGACATAACAATAGTAAATATCTATGCACCCAATGAAGAGCTCCAAAATACATATATTACACTTTAACAGAATTGAAAAGACAAATAGATGATTCTACAGTCATAGGAGGAGACTTTAATACACCATTTTCAATCAAAGATAGAACAGTTGGAAAGAAACTCAACAAAGACACAGAACTAAACAATACAACCCACCAACTTAACCTTATAGACACCTACAGTGCACTTCACTCAACAACAGCACAATATACATTCTTTTCCAGAACACATGGAACAATTTCCAGAATAGGCCACAAAGCAAGTCTTAATAAATTCAGAAACACTGAAATATTGCAAAGCATCTTCTCAGATCACAATACCATAAAATTAGAAATCAACAATAGGAAGATGAACGGAAAAAGAGTAAACCCATGGAAACTGAGTAACACCCTCTTTGAAAACAACTGGGTAATAGAAGAAATAAAAAATGAAATTAAAAAATTCCATGAATCAAATGAGAATGAAAACACAACATACCAAAATCTTTGGGACACAGCAAAAGCTGTGATCAGAGGTCAATTTATAGCAATAAATGTACACATCAAAAAAGAAGAAAGAGCCAAAATCAATACTTTAACCCAACATCTCCAACAATTGGAAAAAGAGCAGCAAAAAAAGCCTACAGTCACCAGAAGAAAAGAAATAATAAAGATTCAAGCAGAAACAAATGGAACAGAAAATAGAAAGACAATAAAAAAATCAACAAGACTAGAAACTGTTTTTTTTAAAAGATTAATAAAATGAACAAACCACTGGCAAATTTAACAAAGGAAAAGAGGGAGAGAATACAAATAACATGAATAAGAAACAAACTGGGCAACATCACAACAAAACCAACAGAGATTAAAAGGATAATATCAGGAATACTATGAAGAACTACATTCCAACAAATTTGGAAATCCAGAAGAAATGGACAGATTTCTAGAAACATACCACTTACCTAAACTAACATAAACTGAGGTGGAAAATTTAAACAGACCCATGCTAAAAGAAGAAATAGAACAGGTCATAAAAAAAATTACCAACAAAAAAAGCCCCAGCCCAGATGGCTCCACTGGAGAATTTTACTAAACATTCAGAAAAGAACTGACACCAGTCCTACTCAAACTGTTCCAGAACACAGAAAAGGATGGAATCCTCTCTAATTGATTTTCTAAAACAAGCATAACCTTGATATCAAAACCAGGCAAAGACATCACTAAAACGGAAAACTACAAACTAATATCCTTCACGAATACAGATGCGAAAATCTTCAACAAAATCCTGGCCAACAGACTCCAACAACATATCAAGAAAATCATTCTTTGTGACCAAGTGGGGTTCATACAGGTATGCAAGGATGGTTCCAATTAGAAAAACAATTAACATCATCCACCACATAAATAAAACAAAGGAAAAGAACCATATGATTATATCAATCAATGCAGAAAAGGCATTTGATAAAATCCAATACCCATTCCTGATTTAAAATGTCAGCAAAATAGGAATAGAAAGGAAAATCCTCAACACAATAAAGGGCATATACGCAAAACCAACAGCCAACATTATTCTCAATGGAGAGAGACTGAAACCATTCCCCTTGCGAACAGGAATCAGACAAGGATGCCCTCTATCACCACTTGTATTCAACATTGTACTGGAAGTCCTAGCCAGGGCAATAAGGCAAGAAAGAGAAATCAAAGGCATCCAAATTGATGAACTAAAACTATCCCTATTTGCTGACGATACGATCCTACACATAGAAAATCCAAGAGACTAAGCAAAAAAACTCCTGAAACTAATTGAGAGATTTAGCATAGTGGCAGGATACAAGATCAACATCCAAAAATCAGTTGGATTTCTCTATACCACCAAAGAGACTGCTGAAAAAGAAATAAGGAAAACAATACTACTTACAATGGCTACCAAAAATTAAATACTTGGGAATAAATCTCACTAGGGACACAAAAGACCTATACAAAGAAAACTATAAAACATTGCTTCAAGAAACCATAAGAGATCTACATAATGGAAGAATAAACCACGCTCGTGGATAGAAAGACTGAACATTGTGAAAATGTCACTAATACTCAAAGCAATCTATATATTCAATGTAATCCCAATCCAGATCCCATCAACATTCTTTAAGGATATGGAAAAACGAATCACTAATTTTATATGGAAAGGAAAGAGACCTCGGATAAGCAAAACACTATTGAAGAAGAAGAAAGTAGGAGGTCTCACACTCCTGGATCTTAAAGCTTACTACACAGTCATAGTAGTCAAAACTGCCTGGTATTGGTACATCAACAGACACATAGACCAGGGGAATAGAATTGAGAATGCAGAAATAGATCCATCGACCTGTGGTCAGCTGATCTTTGGCAAAGGGCCAAAATCCATTAAATGGGGAAAACTGGTTATCCATTTGCAGAAAAATGAAACAAGATCTGTACCTCACACCATACATAAAAATTAACTCCAGATGGATCAAAGACTTAAATGTGAAACCTAAAACTATAAAGTTCCTCAAGGAAAAACTAGGGGCAAACGTAGGGGCCCTAATTCATGGCATAAATAGACTGTCAAGCATAACCCAAAATGTACAAATAGCAGAAGATAAACTAGATAAATGGGACCTTCTAAAAATTAAATTTTTATGTGCTTCCAAACACTTCTCCAAGAGAGTCAAAAGAGAACCTACAGACTGGGAAAAAATATTTGGTAATGACATATCTGACAAGGGACTTAGCTCTAAAATTTAAAGAAAACTCTAATACCTCAATAACAAAAAGACACATAATCCAATTAAAAAATGGGCAGAAGATATGAGTAGACACTTCACCAAAGAGGATATCTAGGAAGGCAACAAACACATGAAGAAATGTTCACGATCATTAGCCATTAGAGAGATGCAAATCAAAACAACGAGATACCATCTTGCCCCAGCACTAGCAGCAAAGTTCAACAAGACAGAAAATAACAAATGCTGGCAAGGATGTAGAAAGATCGAGATTCTCATACACTGTTGGTGGGACTGTCAAATGATCCAACCACTATGGAAAGCAGTATGGTGATTCCTTAAAAAGCTGGAATTAGAAATACCAATTGATCTAGTAATCCCATTATTAGGTGTATATCCTAAAGAAGTGAGAGTCAGAACACAAACAGATATATGCACACCCATGTTCATCACAGTGTTATTTACAATAGCAAAAAGATGTAAACAACCTAGGTGCCCATCAACAGAATAATGGGTAAGCAAACCATGGTACATACACATAATGGAATACTATGGAACACTAAAGAATAATGTAGAATCTGCAAAACACTGCATAATGTGGTTGAACTTGGAAGATATTATGCTGAGTGAAATAAGTCAATCACAGAAGGACAAATATTGTATTAGTTTATTATTGCAAAAGTCAAGGAAAGGTTTATATACAGAAGAAAACTTTCTTTGTTGGTTACTAGGGGTGGGAGGGGAGGGTAAGGAACACTGCAAAATTTTTTTTAAATAAATTATTTAAAAAAAAACAAAACCTTAAACCAAAAATATCCCGTGAACTCTTCTTAAAACCAAACAACAGTTTAGCTTAACTAGTAAGAAACATCTGTCCTATACAGCTTAGTGGAACCGCTAAGACTATGGCCCCTAGCTGCCCTTCAGGTCTGGAATTGAAACCACTCCTGTGGCTTCCAGCCAAACAAAAGTCAGGCTTATGAGCGGAACATTTACATTAGGTAGATACGTTCCTTGGAGAGATCAATCATGGGAGAATAGAAGGGCTATGTTTGCACAGGGAGACAGCTCGGGAGGCAGGAGTGCAAGGGAGGGAAGGACATAGGGAAGAGGTGGCTATGGGGAGGAAGTGAGAAGCGAGTTGTTACATTGTGGGGAATGGCAATCAATGTCATGAGACAAAATGTGTTATGAACTGCAGTATCGAAAACGAATTTGCTCTGTGAACTTTCACCAAAATGACGATAAAAATTAAAAAAAAGAGAAAAAAGTCTGCCTTGAACATTATGTTCTTTTAAGAACTATCTACATAAAAAAAAAAAAAAAAAAAACAACTATCTACATGGGATCATGGCAAACACTGATCTACAGGTGGGTACATGGATAGACAGGCTAAATGATCAGGTATGTCTAGGCAGGGGGGCATGTGCCCATGACCATGTATAGGGTTGGCAAATACAAGCATGTTTGTATGTTATGGAAGAATGTCCATGTATCTAGTAGAGCTGATAAGGGACAAGGTTGTGGTGGCTTCTTGGCCACAGCCAGCATCTGGAGGGAGCAAGTAGTTGGACCTGTGGGCTCAGGACCATGGTCCCTGGGGACATCAAGCTCCACTGGCATAATATACTACACAAAAACACTGTTTCACATCCTACTTTAGTAAGTAGTGACTAGGATCTTAAAAGTTTGCAAGCAGCCATCTAGATGCAATGATGTGTCTCACCTCGTCCACGGTAAAGAAGAATGAAGAAAACCAAAGATGCGTGGAAACAATTAGTCCACGGGACTGGTAGACCATGCAATCCTCAGCCTATATGACCATGAGACCAGAAGAACAAGATGATGCCCGGCTACTACTGTCAACCACTCAGAAGGGGATCTATGTAGGAGACCCTGAACAGAGTGGGAGAACAATGTGGAACAAAACTCAAAATCATTAAAAGAAAAAAAGGATCAGGTTTGCTGGTCTGATAGAGCTTGATGGAACCACTGAGACTATAGCCCCTAGCTGCCCTTCAGGTCTGGAACTGAACCCACTCCTATGGCTCCCAGTCAAACAAAAGACAGGCATATGGGGGAAACATTTACATCAGGTGGACATACTCCTTGGAGAGATCAATCACGGGAGAAGAGAAGGGCAGTGTAGGCACAGGGAGACAGCGGGGGCAGAAGTACATGGAGGGAAGGACACAGGGAAGAGGTAAGTATGGGCATGAAGTGGGAAGGGAGCTGTTACACTGTGGGACATTGCAGTCAATGTCATGAGACAAAATGTGTATGAACTGCTGAATGGAAAATCAATTTGCTCTGTAAACTTTCACCCAAATCACAATAAAAATTAAAAAAAAAAAAAAAAAACTATCTACATGGGATCAATCTGACAACAGCAATTCAAAAGCTTAGATAGGAGCCTTAGGAGGCACTGAGTTTATGTTAATGGAGGAGAAACAGAAGAATAGAGTGAGAATGGCTATACAACTTGAAGAATGGAATCAATGTCATTGAATTGTAAACAAAGAAACTTGAATCAGTGTATATTTTTTTTGCTGTATATATTATCAACAACAATAAAGTATTACAAAAAAACGACAAGACATAAGAGTGACCTAAACAAGGGGAGTGGCAGTGGGGATGGAAAAAAGAGGGAGCCCTGATAGAGCCTCATTTACCTGGGTTGGGTGGAAGGCAGAGGGCAGCAGGCTGAGCCAGGACCAGGCCAGATGCTGATTGAGCCGGCAACTGGGTAGGTGAGAAACCTCTGGGAGGGGGAGAAGGGCCTTAGGGTCAAAGGAGGCCCAGGCCCTGGACTTCCCTTCCTTTTTCAGGATGGCCAGAGCAGGGAAAGAGCAGGGAGTCTGCAGTCGAATATACTGACAGGGAGAAGACAGAAATCAGGTTGTGTGCCACACACCGTCCCAGGTATGCCTTGGCTAGCCCCTTCAGTTCATTAGCCAGCCCACCGATCCTTCCCCCACACCTTCATACTTTCTGGAGGGGACAGCGATGAGGCTCTTCCAGGATCTCCTTGTTTGCATTCCGAATGGGGCCACCTGGCGGAGCTAGAGTATCCAGGGTAGGAGCCAGAAGTTGCATCCCTAGGCTGGGGTTTCCAGGAGAGGAGCGCTGCAGGAACTGGTGATGCCTTAGCACATGGGGACACAGCCTTGACCAGGGAAAGAAGCTGGGTCACTTCCTCAAAGACCCAAGCTACCAGCTACTGTTCCTGTCTCTTCAAGGACCCTACTTTCCCGAGAGAGGCAGCGTCCCACTCCCACCACTCCCCACCTCAGACCCCCCATCCTCCTCACTTGCAGGCCAGCTCTTCCAGGGCCTTGGTAGCCCACAGGTAGACAGGAAGTCTTAACTGATATTCCCATACCAGCTGTTCATACAGAGAGGCCCCATGGACTTGGTGGGATGACTGACTCTCAGTCTTCCGAGGTGAGAAGCCCCGAACTAGGACGGCACCACCAAGACAGGAGGCTAGCACTGGCCTTGTTGTTCCTCCACCCACTGACTGGAGAAGGTGAACATCCTGGAGCTAGAGAAAAGCAGAAAAACTGAAAGAGCAGAGGTGAAGCTCCTAACTCCATGACCCCAGGCAGAGGTAGTTACAGTTTTCCACTGCCTGGGTTCCAAGAGAAAGAACACAATTTCTAAAGACAAGCTATTACTTTCTTCCAGCCCCTATGCCTCATGTTCCATCACAACCCGCTCCACCATAAGCCCTCATTTCCCACATGCTCCACTCCCATCTTTCTGTGGAACTGGTGGCTCCTCGTGGCTCAGGTGGCCACCTGGGACCATCCCGGCCTGTGTGCCACTCTAGCCATCTCTTCCAGTTAGAAGGTCCTTCTATGAGAAAGGTGCCGTGGCCTCAACCCTTCCTCACGGCGAGTAAGATTCTACACCCTTCTGATCTGGACGTCCTCTCTGAACTCTTGTCCAAATCATTCTCAACAAAAGCACTCTCCCAACTTATATTTATTTTTATGTTGTTCACTATAGAGGCTCCCACCTTGCTTTAAATAAAAATAAAAATAAAAAAAGCACAGCCTACAAAGTTAAAAAAAAAAAACTAGGACCATTATAATTATTTGTGATATTTTTAAAAATGGTCACCTAGTCTCTTTAACATCTAACTTAGCTTTGAAACAAAAAAAAAAAAACCAAACCCAAAAAAATAAAAAAAAAAAAAAAAAAAGCTGCTTAACGGGCCAGCCTCTGTTCCTGTCACTAGCCCCAACCCCTTGCATACCTCCAGACTGACTCCTGGCCGCACCACCCGCCGGAAGCCTTGGAACTGCTGGTAGGCAAGACAGAGCCCTAGCTGCCCATCCAGCTCAAAGAGGCCAGCAGGCTCATTCAGTACGCTAGTGACCACTCCCTGCAGAGAGGATAAAGGTTTAGCTGGTCATTATTTCCTTCCTATTTGGAGACCCGCATTTCCTCCCCCTTTGAGTTCTAGGACTTCTCCTTTATGCTCACTGTATATGTGAGAAGTTTGGAGTTCTGGACAACACTTTTCTCCCCCATCCTGTCTTGAGAGTTGCTGGGCATAGGGAGTGGCTTGAGGTCAGTCTCCAAAACTAGTCCTTCCATCTCCAGTTTCAGCTCCTGCACACATTCTGGTTTCAGTGGCAACAGACGGGAGGAGGGACTGGTCGTCCAAACACGGTAACGATGATCACGGATCTTGGATATTCGCAGCTCTGTCAGCACATAGGCCCTACCTGGCTGAAGAACACGGTGCCACACCAGCTGGGCCGGGACCTGGCTTATGCAGAGGCAGACGAGTACATGAGCCACTTCCCATGGAAGCTGTCCCTCTGCCAGAGTCCCCTTCCATCAGGATTTGACCTCAAAGACTCTGCTCCTCACAGTTTGCCCCCTGCCTCTCCATCATCTGTTTGCCAATTAATCTCAAGCCACAGAACTCCTCTCAGAAGAAAGATTCCAAATCTTTCCTAAACCCTCTCCCAAGACATAAACCATCCCTAGAATTTCCTCCAATGAGAAAAATTATACCCTTTTCAGCATTTCCCTTATCCGTATCCCATAACATACAACCAAGCTTCATTTATTTAAATCAGTAATGTATTGGGTACATGTTGTTGTTGTTGTTATGTGCCATCGAGTCGGACCTGACTCATAGCGACCCTTCCTTGGGTTTCTGAGGCAGTATCACTACGGAAGTAGATTGCCCCATCTTCCTTCCAAGGAGTGGCTGGTGGGTTTGAACCGCCAGCCTTCTGGTTAGCAGTCAAGTGCCTTAGGCACTATGCTACCAGAGCTCCTGGGGTAGATGTTAAGGGAACTACAATAAACGGTTCCCTTCTTTCTAATATATTTCAAACCACTGGAAAACACAAGCACAAAGCTACAAAATAATGTGGAGCCATATATGATTAAGTGTAAGAAACAATACTTATTTAGTAAGGTTTCAGAAAAGGCAAGATTAGGATACATTGGCATGAGCAGGATGGTCTAGTGAAAGAAGTGGCACTTGAACAGGGTCCTGAAGAACATATCTTGTTGTTAAAGTGGAGAGAAGAAACAGGAGACAACGATATAGCAATACTCAGAACTCAGAATGAGAAAGACATGATTTGGGGGCTGGGAGAACACTGGCCAGGATGGAGAAGAGGCAACATCTTGGGAGGTGCTGGAGACAAAATGGAAGAGCTGAGATAAGGGAAAAAGAAAGAAAAATGAAACTCAGAAATGTCATGCAGAAGACCTCACAGGCAAATGAGAAACAGAGTAAGACAACGGAGATAACAATCTGACAGCAAGGTATAGTGCGGACTGGAGAAGGAAGACTGCAGGGAGGCTGCTGAAGAAATTTACGGAGGAGGAGGAAAATTTCAAGGAAGAGACTGCTCATAAACGTAACGATCTTCCAGAGCGTGCCCCTCCCACAGGAGTAACACATCCCTGCTGCCATTCTCAGGGCTTCCAAACACACTGACGACTCAAGGCACCGGAACTTCACAGTCTCTCACGCTCAATTTCCTAGACCTCTATTTCTACTCTAAAACCAGCTGAGGAGCACCAATCAGACTTTGGACTTCACACCTCATCGTAAGGTATTACAAGTACCTTGTTAAGGTCCCTGGGTGGTAGAAACTATTAAGTGCTTTCTTAGTTATCGAGTGCTGCTATTACAGAAACACCACAAGTGGGTGGCTCTGACAAAACTCATTTCATCACAGTTTAGGAGGCGAGAAGTCCCAATTCATGGCCCAGCTCTAGGAGAAGGCATTTTCTCTGGCAGCTTTAGAGGATAGTCCTTGTCTCCTTTCAGCTTCCATTTCTCAGTTCCTTGGAGATCTCACGTGGTCTGACATCTGTCTTCCCCCTTCTCTCTGCTTGCTTGCTTATTCAAACTGCTCTTTCATATCTCAGGAGAGACCGACTTAAGACATACCCTACGTTAAGACTGCCTTGCTAATGTAAACAAAGACAACCCATTCCCAAATGGGATTATAACCACAGATAACAGGGGTTAGGATTTACAAAACCTGTTTTTGGGGACACAATTCAATCCATAACAAATGGTCATCTTCTAGCCAAAAGGCTGGCAGTTTGAACCCACCCAGAGGCACCTCAGAAGACAGGCCTGATGGTCTGCTTCTGAAAGGCCACAGCTTTAAAAACTCTATGGAGAAGCTTTAAAAATTCTGCACACGGGGTGGCAAAGGGTGACAGCAACCAACAATAACAAATGTTACTATTTTGCCAAAAGCAAGCAGTTAATAACAGTTTGATGAATGGATGAATACTGATGCTTCCACTCTCCACCCCTTTCACCTTATATATACTCTTTAAACTTACATTCTGATCTCTCACTAGGACCTCCAGTATCTCACCCCCTTCTTCATTCACACTGAGAGCCTTCCCTTCCAGTCTGAATACTAGAACCAGAATGCCTGTCCCCTGAGTCCTGCCTCACCACCACTTTTACCCCTCACTGTGAGTCTACCAATACATTGTTCCAGAGAACAACCCTTTTCTCAGTTGTCTTCCCTTCCTATGTAGTTCTCCCTCTTATGCTGTCTTTTCTGTTAAGAGTTCTAACACCCCTTTCACATCTCCATGGCCCTTAATCGACCCCAATCCTCACCTGTACAACAATGGACACATGGCTGACAGCTGGGGATGAATCGCCAAGACACAACACAAAATACGTCTTCCTGTGGCTGCTCACCAGAGCACTCAATCGAACCAGCTCCCCAGCCAGGTTTGGCTGCACGTCTCTGAGCCTGCTTCTAGAGCCGGAAGAAGAGAGAGAAGTTATTTTTAATTTTCTTTTTTTCCCTACAAATGTTTTCCCTCCTTATATAAAGAATAGTCTGACAGTGATGTAAAATTTTCATAGCCTAAAGCTGTTATTCTAAAAGCTTCCTTCTAACTCTCCTGGCTCTTAGATAAGGCATATTTCCCTTGAAGAGCCTTGCTCTTAACATTCTGGGAAGCCCTGTAGTTGTTTTGATTTAGAACACTCCATCTGTATTACTATCAATATCCTTTTTTCCCCTCCTTCTGCTGAGTTACCAGCATCTTCTAAGTTTCATAGCGTTCCTTGTACCCCTAGAGGGGGAAGACTTACCTGTGCCTGAGCAGGCGGGAAGCAGTCTCTGGGTAGAGGACAGGAGTAGGTGAAGCAGGGCCAGGACTGATGGTCAAGGGGAACACTGGCACGGGGGCACCCCAGAGTTCCAAATGCCCTTCCCCCGAGGAATCCCACCTAGCAGGAGGGAGGTAACTCCAACTGCGGAAAAGGAATAGGTGGCCCAACCAAGAAAGGTCCAGATCTATGAGCTAGAAAAGACCAAGGTCAAGAGTTAACCAGAACCCCTGCATCCAATCTACCTCTTCCCCCCCTTTACTCCATGAGACTTCATTGCTTTGTTCCCTAGACACCATTCTCTTTAAGATCTGAGGCATCTGATTCCGCCTTCCCACTCACCTCACAGCCCAGAATACCGGTGTTATCTCTCACATACAGGCTTCCATCCTTGTGCTCTTGTTCCAAGTCCCCCGATAGATCTGTTAGTGTCCCTAAAAGTAATAGTCGCTCCCGGGGTAGAGCGACCCCATCTGGTCCGGCCTTTTGTGCCCAAGCTTGGTATGCACTACTGCTCCAGGACAGATGGCTGCAGCACGGGAGGCACTGGTGGGCCCTGAGGTCCTGCACTGAGACAAAGCTGTAAAGTGAAGGGAACAGAGGTTCTGCAAAGTGGTCTAAGCCTGGGAGGTTACCCTCAACCCCAACAAATCGCCTAAAGAAAGCTGGTGCTGGTGTCAACATGGACTAGGGGATGACTAGTTTGACTGGATGAAGGGGCCAAACTGTGGGTAAAGAGCTAAGAAAATGAGGATGGAGTCTGGGTCCAAAGGCTAGGTAGGTAGTAACTAGGGAAAGCAAGAAGAAAGTGTGTGCCAACTGGTATCTTGAACAAAACGGTTTCAGGGAGGACCCCAGAAAATGAAATAAGAAGGTAAGAAGAAGCTGAGATAAAACACAATTATTATTATTATTATTATTATTATCATTATTGAGAGTGTGTATTGTAGGAATCCACATCTAAAAGCAGAAAAACAGACAAAATCCATCTATGGTATTAAAAGTTAGGATAGTGCTTACCCTTGGTAGGAGGATGATGACTGGGAGAGGGCATAAGAAGGGTTTCTGGGGAACTGGTCATTTTCCATTTCTCGATTTGGGTGATGATTACACGGGTGTGTTCAGCTGGTGAAAATTCCATCAAGTTGTTCTATTCACATGCACTTCTCTGTACATATATTACACTTCAATAAAAAGTTTTAAATGCTTTAAAAAAAAAAAAAAAGCGGAGGCTGAGAGTGTGTGTATGGGGAGAACGCAGTACAGATACCACAAACTGCTCTCCCGAAAGCATCTCAGCTCTCATCTCCACGGAAAACTCCAAAAGGGCCACTTCAGCATCTGACTAATGGGTCAACCACAATGGCCCCAACCAGATTTCCTTTCCAGTCTAGAATATCACGATAGTACTAGAGATCAGCTGGAAAGCTGAGGCTGAGGGGGCAGTTAGTATCAAGAGAATTTCCAAATCTCAATAGGATGTTTTAGATCAGCAACTGTTAAACAAAATGTTGCAATACTGCTGTGTCACTAACAACTGTAAGGTGTGTCACAGATAATGTGATACAAATAATAATTAAATCATCAAAGTTGTGACAGATTCACATTTTTATAATACTTTATTTCTCACTGGCACTGTTTTGGGCTGAATTGTGCCCCTCAAAAATATGTGTGGGAAATCTATCCCCTACACCTATGGAAAGGAGCCCTGGTGGCTCAGTGGTTATATGCTCAGCTGCATATAAGATTCAAACCCACCAGCTGCTCTACTGGAGAAAGATGTGGCTGTCTGCTTCCATAAAGATTACAGCCTTGGAAACCCTATGGAGCAGTTCTTCTCTGTCCTATATGGTCATCATGACTCGATGCCAATGGGCTTTTTGTATACCCTCACCTACATTGGTCATGTTGTCAGAAGGGACCTTTCACTGGAGAAGGATATCATGCTTGGTAAAGTGGAGAGTCAGCGGAAAAGGGGAAGGCCCTCAACGAGATGGATTGACACTGTGGTACAACAATGGGCTCAGGTATAGCAAGGATTGTGAGGCTGGCATAGGACCAGGCAGTGTTTTGTTCTGTTGTGCACAGGGTCACTCTGAGTTGGAGCTGACTCCACAGCACCTAACAACAACAACATAGACACAGAGACAAGCAAGCACAAACAGGGAAGGCAGATGACATGTGAAGGTTGCCAAGGAACCAAGAGAAACCAGGGCTAAGAGATACTGAAAGAATCAAAGGGCTTCACCCAGAGCTGACAGAGATGCCCTGGATTCAAACTTCTGGCCTCCTAAACTGTGAGAAAATAAATTTCTGTTGTTTAAAGCCACCTACTTGGGGTATTTCTGTTACAGCAGCACTAGGAAAAAACACAACTCCTATAATGTTTTTGAGTGGAAAAGAAAGAGAACAGAGTTACAAAACATCACAGTTAATCTGAATTTCATACCTACGGGCATTAGCCACATTAGTATTAAAGATCGGGCACGTGTTCTAGATGGCCACCTCCTTCTGGATATGTTCTCATTCCTTCCCAAACAGTTTTGGAGATGATAAAAAACAAAGAAAGAAACGAGTATGTATTGAGCCCCCGCTATTTGTACTGCACTCTACTGGGTCCATTCATGCCCAATATTGCAGTTAATCTTCAAAAAAAAAAAAAAAAAAGAACCCTGTAACCATCACCAATGGGGAACTCAGAGAGGTTGATACAAATAATATCACAATCAAATATATACAAATAATACGCAGCAGCACAGGCAGCAAAGCTTGGTGTGTCTCACTCCTAAGTCCATGCTCCCTTACTGTGTTTTCCTACTTTTCTAAAGGTCCAGGAAAAACAGAGAATGGTCTCTTTATCTTAGATAGCCTCAGGACAGAAAAGAGTAAGGATAGGGATCCTTTCCCTAGATCCTTCAGAGTCTAGGTCAGGAAACTGAAGATAAATAAGCATTTCAATCCTCAGCATTTATCATTGTTAACTTTCAAGGCATACCACAATGCCTGGCACACAGCAGGCAATCAATGAAAGTAAACAAAAAATAAGTGAGTGAAAATATTTTTATATCTGTCAAATAATCTCCATTTTTACCTTTACCCATCATTCTTTATGGACTCCTCCTATTGTTCTATCTTTCTATACCCATTCTTCAATTATGGACATTGTTAGGTTTCAAAGACCAGGTTATTATGTAAAAATGGAGGATGATTACATTATTACATAACTCCCAAACCACTGAGAATCATGGGCCAGCCAAGTTGACACATTACCGTAACCATTACAGTCAGCATTACTCTTGCCTTGCACCTTGGCTTTCATTACTGCTAGATGTATATCACTGATGTGAAAAATAGTCTGACAGGCTGTTTACTATTGTCATGAATGCATAATGTCAGATAATGAGATACTCGATAAGTGAGAAGTAGGTGTATTTCATATTTATCTTGAATAATAAGAAAATTTAAAAGACTCTTAAGTTTCCCAAAAAATGCTTACCACTTTTCAATTATTCCAATGATGCTAGAATTTTGAGATATGGATCTTCTTTCCTTTAGACTTTGATCACTGAGGGCACTAGGCCACACTCAATTCATCTGCAGGAGACTCTAACCTCGCTGTAATAGAGACCATAGGAATCACAATTCCCTGCACTAAGAATAGTTGATAGATAGCTCTCCTGTCTCAGGGCTTTTCTGACATTGGCAGGATCATTTTCAAAAGACGTTTCTATGAATTTAATCTTAAGAGTTACAGACATGAATGAAAATTGTAGGAAAAGAGAGGAAAAACAGTCCAATGGAGTAAAACAAGAAGAGTTAAATAGAAGAAAAAAAAAGGCCCTTAGAAATTACTGTGAAATTAAAGTAACAAAATATCACTTACTATTAAGTAGGGTGGGAGCTCTGGTGGTATAGTGCCTAAGGCATTTGACTGCTAACAAGAAGGCTAGTGGTTCAAACCCACTAGCCACTCCTCAGAAGGAAAGTTGGGCAATCTACTTCTGTAGTGACACCGCCTCGGAAACCCAAGAAGGGGTCACTGTGAGTCGGATGCTACTCAATGGCAGTGAGTTTGGTTTGGTTTATTAAATAGGGAAAAAAAAATTTAACATGGTAAATACCAGATTTAGCAAAGGCTGAAGATACAGGTGTATGCTGGTACGTGTATAAACTGGTACAACTCCACTGGGGATCAATGTGAAATCACTAATAAGGTTGATGGTGTGCACTCTCTATGAGCCTACACTTTCCTTGAGGACAATGGTGACCGCTGGGGAGGGGATAAGGAAGAATTTGATCAGAACAGAGTACTTAGGTAACTTCACTAAATCTGTAACTTTTCATTTCTTATTGAAAAAAGGACTGATACAAATATGGATGTAGAAAAATATTAAGGTTTTTAAAAAATTAGCGTAAGTACATGGGTATACACAATATCACTAAGCACATTATTTACTTCAGTTGATCCTTTTCGCAGGCAAGGCCTTCTCAATGAAGGAAATATGTTGATTTACATTCTGGGAACAAGTACCACTGGTTTATAACCAAGTCCATGAACGAGAAAACTACAGAGAATTATGAAAATGATGTTTTGGATAACATGGAATACAATTAAGCTGTTTCCTCACCAAAGATCCCTTGCCTTTACTGACTAAGACAGGCAGCCTGGTTGAATGTTGTGTTTCCCACACTGCCATAAGCACGTTAAAGAATGCTAAGGAAAAAAAGTACTCTGTGCTCAAGTAGCTTGGGAAATAACAAATTAAACAAAGCTTGACAGATTTCCAGCTTTTTTATTTTTAAAAGGATAAACTGTGATGTGTATATTCACATAATGGAATACTATACAGCAGTTAAAATAAACAAACTACAATCATATGTGTAATATGAATAAATCACAAAAATATAATGTTAAGCACAAACGCAAATACAGAGACTATGTAAGCTATGGTACCATTTATATAAAGTCTAAAGGTATGCAAAACTCTACTGTACATTGCTTAGAGATTGATGCCACGTATAAGATATCTTTAAAATATAAAGATATTCATGGGAATGATATATCTCATATACAAGATAGTGGTTATAGGTTTCTTTTGCAGGACTTTTCAAAGCCTTGAAGATGTTAATGAGCTTTATGACTGTCCTAGAGAAGGTTATGTACCCAATGTTTCTCAAACTCTTTTGGCCATAGAATCCTTTTCTGTGGTACTTTTTCACATTGCCTAGAATAGTTTAGGAAATGGCAGTATAGTTTAAAAAAAAAAAAAAAAGAAAGAAAAACACCCTCAGAAGAACCTAAACTCAGTTCTTAAACATAACTATCTGTACTTGCTGAAGTCATGTAATCTCTCTGTATCTTAGTTTCCTAATACACAAATGAAGATAATACCAGCTATCTCTTCCCTTTGAGAGCTGTTTTTCCAAATTTCCTTTTTATTTTTCTCTCTTCTTTTTTCCTCTATTCATGGCATGAGCCAATTCAGGAGAGATTTAAGAAGAAAGGAGCTTGATGGCAAATAGGAAAGTTTGGCAGAAAGAGGTATGTTTAGACCACCCTGAACTCCCCTCAGCAAGTTTCCCTCACTCTTTTCACTCCCCCTTTTTCTAACAACAAGGAGCTCTGGTGGTGCTGTGATTAAAGCCTATCAAGAGGTTAGCAGTTTGAACATATCAGCCAGTCCACAAGAAAAGATAGGCAATCAGCTTCCATAAAGATTTACAGCTTTGGAAACCCTATCAGGCAATTCTACTCTGTTCTATAGGTCACTGAGTTCGAACTGACTCGATGGCAGTGGGTTTTGTTTGTTTTTTTTTCTAACTACAGTTATGTTATAGATTGAATTGTGTCCCCTCAAACATGTGTTATAAATCCTAACCCCTGTACCTGTGGCTATAATCCCATTTAGGAATGGGTTTTATTTGTTTTGTCAATATGGTAATATATAGTATTGTTTAAAAAATATTGAAAATACCACAGACTACAAGAAGAACAAACAAATCTGTCTTGGAAGAAGTACAGCCAGAATGCAACTTAGAAGCGAGAATGGTCATACTTTGTCTATTGCACTTTGCTCATGTTAACAAAAGGGATCTGTCCCTGGAAAGGATATTACGCTTGGTAAAGTAAAGGATCAGCAAACAAGGGGAAGGCTCCCAACAAGACAGGGATCGATACAGTGGCTGTGACAATGGCTCAAGCACAACTGTGAGGACGGAGCAGGACTGGCAGCGGTTCGTTCTGTTGGACACAGGGTCACGATCAGATGGAACTGACTCGCAGCGCGGTCAGTGCAACATGAGTGCAGGGTGTGTCTCAAACCAACCTTTTGAGATATAAAAGAACAGATTAAGCAACAGACGTAGAAGAAGATAGATGCCAAGCCACATGAAGATCACCAAGGAATCAAGGAACAGAAGCTGAAAACGAGCCAAGGACATCCCCCAGAGGGGATAGAGAGCAAGCGAAAAAGAGAGCGAAAACCTTCTGGTAGAGCCACAGCCTTGAATTTGGATTTCCAGCCTCCTAAACGGTGAGAAAATAAATTTCTGTTCATTGAAGTCACTCGATTCTGGTATTTCTGTTATAGCAGCACTAGATAACTAAGGCAAGATACTTCCTTTTAAAACTCAAATCCATGGGTAGGCAAACAGGAATAAATTCAGGACCATATACAGGTTTGGCAGACAATATCCCTACATATGCATTTGTATGTGCTATAAAAATGTCCATTTGCATTATAGAGCTAGAAAGGGACAAAGTTAGGATAACTTCTTAGCTACAACTAAACATCTGAAGAAGTAAGTCACTGGGCATGTGGGCTTGGGCCCACGGTTACAGGGGACATTAAGCTCTATTAGCACAACACAGTACACAAAAACTTTTCTATATCCTACTTTGGTGACTAGTGACTAGGGCCTTGAAAGCTTGCAAGCAGCCATCTAAGATGCAGCTATTGGTCTCTCCTCATCCAGAACAAAGAAGAGTGAAGAAAATCAAAGACACATGGGAACAATTAGTCCAAAGGATTACTGGACCATGGGAACCTCATCTACATGACCCTGAGACCAGAAGAACTGGATGGTGCCCAGCTACCAATGCCAACCACTTGGAAAGGGATTAAAATTAGAGACCCTGGATAGAGTGAGAGAAAAAAAATGTGGAACAAAATTCAAAAACAACCAGGATTATTGGTCAGATAGAGACTGGTGAAACCCCTGAGACTACAGCCCCTAGTCACCCTTCAGGCCTGGACTCACTCCTATAGTTTAACTCTCAGCCAAACAATAGACAGGCCTATGAGTGAAATACCTACACCAGGGAGATGTATTCCTTAAATCATTCAACCATGGGAGAGTTGCATAGGGAGAAAGCTAAGGAGGTAGGAATGCATAGGCAGGAAAGATACACAGAGAAGGGTAAGCATAGGGGAGAAATAGAGAGCTATTCCATTGTGGGGATTGTAATTGGTGCCATGACGCATACTGTGTACGAAATGTTGAATGTAAAACACATTTGCTTTGTAAAATTTCACCCAAATCACAGTAAAAGTGGTGGTTTTTTTTTTTTTAAATTCAACCTCTTCCCATCCCTGCCCCTCCTTACCTATAGCTGAGGGGCAAAGGAAGACCCTGGTTCCTTCCCTCGGACAACCAAACTGTCTTCACACAATCAATCACCAACTGAGTCAACTGGACATCAGGCTCCTTGCCAGGCGGACACAGAGTCTCTTGTATGAAGGCCTGGGCAGCCTCAAGCCAGGCTTTCTCCTGAGAAAAGAGAATCTGGTTAAAATATCTTCATGACCATCCTGTCCACAAAGCAAATGTTTGGGACTAAAAGTAACAGGAGGGAAAAAACAAAACGAGAGGGCGCATGAGACGAAGATTAAAAGTAAAGGAGTTTAGAATTGGAAGAAATCTTTAAAGTGCTAGTCTAATCACGCAGTCACCTTAGACAGCTGGCCCTTCAGCTTTGATCTTGCCTCCTTCTCTGCCTAATAAACTTGTTGTTGTTAGTTGTCACCAAGTCAGTCCCCATCTCATGGTGACCCCATGCACAAGGGGACCGGATCGTTGTGATACATAGGGTTTTTTCCATTGGCTGATTTTCAGAAATAGATTGACAGGCCTTTCTTTCTAGGAACCTCTGCTGAAACCTATTCAGCATCATAGAAACATGTAAGTGACAGATTGGGGTTGTGTTTGAAGGGCACTTGTGAAAATCTGCACCAATCCTTAAAATGCCCAATCAGAATTTATATTCCACTGTGGACCCCACTTTTGCTCATCTTGGGCAGATTGAGCTGCTCTTTCCTTGGAACTCTCATAGCACTTTGCACATACCTCTATTAAGAGCAATTATCACTGTGTATAGCTGTTTCCTATTGTATATGGGGTCTGGTTCTAAAGCCAGCAAGTTGACAAGCAGGAATGGTCAAAATCATCCTTGAAAAAAATACTCTAAATGGCCCTTAAAGAATAGGACATAGTATTGTACAGTAATATGTATATGTGAATGTGTCCAGTAACAGGCAGTATATAAAAAGAACAAAATATAGCTTTTAATTACTGCCATTTTTTAAGTCAAATATATATATATCTGAATTCCCATAAACTAAATGCATGTAAGATTTAAGCCCATTAGATTTGTCTCCTGTTCTGTCTTTTCAGTTAAAATGTGGGCTCCCTAAGGAAAACATGAATCATCTTTATATGTTTGCTAGAGATTATAGACACATGGGTGCCATTATATATAACTAACTGAGATTTAAAAAAAAAAAAAAAACTATTTATGAGATCAAATGGACAACAGCAACTGGAAAGATTAGATAGGAACTTAGGGGGCAGTGAATTTATGTTAATTGGGGAGGAACAACTCAGAAAGGGAGGGTAAGAAAGGATGCACAACTCAAAGAATGTGATCAATGTGCCTGAACCTTACATGTAGACACTGCTGAATCGGTGAATGTTTTGCTGCGTATATTCTCAAAACAACTATACACACACACATATATGTGTACTGCTATTTCAATTCTTACTAACTGAGCAAATACTACCCTCAACAAAATTGTTCTGTCTTGAAATCTGGATATCCTTCCTAATTCCTTGGTTTTCCCACGCAGGCCCCAAGTCCTTTTGTTTTGACCTCAGTATCTTTAAAATCTAGGAGCTCTGCTAGCATAGTGCCTAAGGCACTTGACTACTAACCAGAAGGCTGGTGGTTCAAACCCATCAGCTACTCCTCGGAAGGAAGGTTGGGCAACCTACTTCCATAGAGATATCGCCTCAGAAACCCAAGGAGGGGTCACTACGAGTTGGGTCCACTCGATGGCACATAACAATAACATCTTTAATATCTGTCTTCACCTGTGGAACGTCACCGTTACTTCTCACTTCATTTCAACCACAGCTTTCAGGCTGGTACCCTCCAGCCCACTCTCTACATTGCCACCACCACAGGAGACTAAAATCCAAATCTCAACCTATCACTCTTCTGGTTAAGGCCCTTCAACTCTCAGCTATCTCATCCTCAGGTTCAAGCCGCTGTTTAGCGAGACTTGCAAGACTCTCAGCTCCACCACCACTCAATTGAACTTCGAGTTTTTCAAAGACGCCAGCTCTTGAAACCGCTTTCAGCGCCCCTTCCAGTCTCAGAAGTTCTCCTGATTAAGTTACCCAACACCCCCACAGCTGCCTCCAGGAACCCAAGTCTTCTATTTCCCTCATTAGACTACTTTCGGTTTCCTCGCAAGCCTGGAACCCTAAAGCGAGAACTGATACTGATTTAACGCTCACAGCGGGCGCCGTATATATTCGTATATGTTGTTGTTGTTGTTATGTGCCGTCGAGTCGGCCCCGACTCATAGCGACCCCTCCTTGGGTTTCCGAGGCAGTATCACTACGGAAGTAGGATTGCCCAACCTTCCTTCCGAGGAGTGGCTGGTGGGTTTGAACCGCCAGCCGTCTGGTTAGCAGGCAAGTGTCTTAGCCACTATGCTACCAGAGCTCCCATATTCGTATATATATATATATATGTATGTATATTCGTAGGCAGAACCATTAAGGAGTGTAGGAACGGCCTCACAGGTCCCCACCCGGGCGCGGCGAGGGGAGTCAAGGCCAGAGGGGCAAGGCAAACGGAACAGGAAAAGAAGGAAAATCTAGGACAGACAAAAAAAGGGGGCAAGGAACAGAGAACAACACTCACAGAGGTAGAAGCTGGAGCCCCGCCACCATCCGCCATGATGAGCCCGAGGCTCCACCTCCGGGAGGCGCCGGAGCCAGGGCTCGCGCGAAAATTCAAGGGAGGACCGCTCGGTGACGTCACTGGGGGTGCGTCTCGCTTCTCCTCCAGCTACTTAGCACCTGGTTTAGAGCCTCTTAAGCAGCTGAACCTCCAGCCTTCTGTTCTGGTTAATAGTCAAATGCCTTAGGCACTACGCTACAGAGCTTTTTTTTTTTTTAAAAGGAGCCCTGGTGACACAGTGGTTAAGCGCTTGGCTGGTAATAGAAAGATCGGCGCTTCGAACCCACCAGCCGCTGTGCGGAATTGGCAGTCTGTTTCCTTAAAGATTGAGTAGTTCTGGTGGCACAGTGCCTAAGGCATTTGACTACTAACTAGAAAGTGGGCGATTCAAACCCACCATCCATCACGGAAGGAAGACGGGGCGCTCTACTTCCGTAAAGATTTCCCGCCTCGGAAACCCAATCCGGGTCGGTATGACTCGGAACCGACTTGATGGCAGTAGGTTTCTGGGGTTCCCTTGGAGGTTACATCCTTGGAAACCCTATGGGACAGTTCTACTCTGTCCTATAGGGTCACTATGAGTCGGATTTGACTTGAGGGCAATGGGTTTGAGTTTTTCGGTTTTAGGGCCTCTTGGCTTTCTGCCCCCTCGTCTTCCCACCCCATGTACGTGTTTAGGTGGGAGGCTGTGTGAGAGCTCACACCAGCTCTTAAGCATCCTTCAATCCCCCTGATCTTGCCAAGCAGAGAGACGTGTTTCATTAGTGAACCCAGAGCACATCATGCCTACTTGTGTTATGACTTTAACTCACTGCGGTAATCTGTTTCACTGTTTCTCCCACTGTACTGTGAGTTCCTAGAAGGGAGGGGCTTTGCTCTATTTATAATCTTTGTATTCTGGTGCCTAAGGCAGTGCTTGTCTCTCAATAAGAGCCTGATAATTATGGATAAATTAAAGAAGAAAGCCTCTGCTCTTTTTAATGGGCAGTGGAATGCACAAAAGTCATTCAAGTATATGCCAGGCTCTGGCGATACAGTAGTAGGGGGGGAAAAAAAAAAGAAAAATCCCTGCTGTGATGGAGCTTATGTTCTAAACAAGAAGACCGACTAACAAAATAGGTAAAATGTGTAAAACATTAGAAGTAAGTGTTGTTACTGTTGTTGAATCGGACCCAACTCATCATGACCCCTCCTTGAGTTTCCTGAGGCAGTATCACTAAGGAAATAAATTGCCAAACCTTCCTTCCAAGGAGTGGCTGGTGGGTTGGAACTGCTAGCCTACCAGGTTAGCAGTCAAGTGCCTTAGGCACTATGCTACCAGAGGTTGTAGAAATAAGTGCTATGAAAAGGAAAAAAGAGTGCAAGCGGTGTTCCTTTTTATTATAAAAAAAGGCCTTACTGAAAAGTTGACTTTTAGTCAAGAACTGAAGGAGATGAAGGATTCAAATGATGCAGATCTGAGAGAAAGAGCAGATGGAGGAGACAGCAAGCACAAAGACTATAGCAGGAAAAAAGAAAAAAAAACACCCACTGCCTTCCAGTTGATTCTGACTCACGGTGACCTCCACTGGGTTTCCAAGGCTGTGAATCCTTATGGAAATAGATTGCTTTATCTTTCTCCTGTGGAGCAGCTGGTGGTTTTGCAGCCAAATGTGTTACTCACTATGCCGCCAGAGCAAAGAAATCGATGTAGCTGGAGGAGAGGAGGGAGACAGGATCAGAAAGTAAGGGGAAGGGGTGTTGAAGACCAGCATACAGTTAGAGCTGCTTCAAATAAATATTGATTGTTATTGTTATTGTTAGGTACCATGGAGTCGTCTCCAACTCATAGCAACCCTATGCACTGCAGAAGGAAACACTGCCTGGTCCTGTGCCAGCCTCGTGATCCTTGTTATACTTGAGCCCATCGCTGCAGCCACCGTGTCAATCCCTCTCATTAAGGGCCTTCCCCTTCTTCGTTGACCCTCCATTTTACCAAGCATGACATCCTTCTCCAGGGAATGGTTCCTTTTGACAATATGACCAAAGTAGGTGAGATGAAGTCTGGCCATTCTCACTTCCAAGGAGAATTCCAGCTGCTCTTCTTCTAGGACAGATTTGTTAGTCCTTTTAGCAGACCACGGTACTCTTAGCATTCTTCTCCAACACCACAACTCAAAAGCATCAACTCTTCTTCAGTCTTCCTTATTCATTGTCCAGCTCTCACATGCATAAGAGGTGATTGAAAATACCATGGGTTGGGTTAGGCGCATCTTAATCTTCAAGGAGACATCTTTGCTTTTCATCACTTGAAAGAGGTCTTTTGCAGCAGATTTGCCCAATGCAATACATCATCTGATGTCTTGACTGCTGCTTCCATTGGTGTTGACTGTAGAACCAAGTAACATGAAGTCCTTCACAATGTCAATCTTTCCTCCATTCATCATGAAGCTGGTTTTTTGTACCAATTGTGAAGATTTTTATTTTCTTTATATTGAGGTGTAATCCATACTGCAGACTGTAGTCTTTAATCTTCATCAGTAAGTGCTTCAAGTCATCCTCACTTTCAGCAAGCAAAGATGTGTTGTCTGCATATCACAGATTGTTAATGAGTCTTCCTCCAATCCTGATACCACAGTCTTCTTCATATAATCCAGTTTCTCGGATTATTTGTTTAGCATACAAGTTGAATAAGTATGGTGAAAGGATACAACCTTGACACACTCCCTTCTTGATTTTGAACCATGCAGTATTGCCTTGTTCTGTTCGAACAACAGCCTCCTGATCTATGTACAGGTTCCTCATGAGTACAATCAAGTGTTCTGGAGTTCCCATTCTTCCCAATGTTGTCCATAATTTGTTATGATCCACACAATCAAATGCTTTTGTATAGCCAATAAAACATAAGTAAACATCTTTCTGGTATTCTTTGCTTTCAGATAAGGTCCATCTAAACGAGACTGACTAACAAATAGGTTATATTGACTACAATATGGCAAATAATAAAATTTTTAGCCAAGAAACTTCTAGTCATTTAACAGGAAAAAAAGACTATTTAATTCAACAAGTTATGTTATTCCCTAATTCCACTTTACTTTTGATGCACATTTTATTCCTTTTTACATGAATTAGATATGCACTGTGGTGCCAAGTTCTTTATAAAGTCAAACTTTGTTTGCAATTATTTTCCATTATTGTGTCACAGATGTGTTCGTTCCCTTTCTACCAAAGCAGTGACAGAAAAAAAAATCCACCAGAAGCAGCTAAAATCCCACTGACACCCCTCCAGCCACAATGGCCTCCTTGTTATAGTACCAGTCTGGTTAAAATCCCGAATCTAGTCATTCCTTTTGTTTCAGTATTTTCTGAACTCCGGAAGACCCTTTCTATTTATCAAATTCATGGAAATGTGCTCTATATCCTGGGATTTACTTTTGATAGTTCATCAGTGGGAGAGTTTAGGTTACACGGTCAGAGAAAATTGTATGGATGCAGTCCCCACCCCCACCTCTACTGGTGTGATTTATGTATTTATTTATTTTTATCTTTAACCAACAGAAACTTATTTTCTCACAGTTTAGGAGGCTGAAAGTCCAAATCTGGGGCATTGACTCTATGGGAAGTCTTTCTCTTCCTGTTGGCTCTGAAGGAAGGTCCTCATTGCTCTGTTCCGAGATGATCTTCACACGGTGTGGCATCTTTCTTCCCCCAACTCTGCTTGTCTTTCTGCTTGCTTAATCATGCTTTTTCATATCTCAAAAGGAGATTGATGTAAAATACACATTACACTATTACTGTCTCCTTAACATAATAAACAAAACTCATTCTCAAATGGAATTATAACTACTATGTGGGTGAGAATTTATGACACATATTTCACTGTTCTTGTTGTTAGGTGCCATCAAGTCGGTTCTGACTTATAGTGGCCTTATGCACAACAGAACAAAATGCTGCCCAGGCCTGTGCCAGCCTCACAATTGTTGCTACAGTTTGGCCCATCGTTGCAGACACTGTGTCAATCGATCTCAGAGTGTTTGTCGATCTTTCGCTGACCCTTGGCTCTACCGAGCATGATATCCTTCTCTAGGGCTTGGTCCCCTCTGACAACACGACCAAAGTAAAAGAAATGAAGTCTGGTCATTCTTGCTTTTAAAGAGCATTCAGCTGTACTTCCTCCAAGACCGATTTGTTCGTTTTTGTAGCAGTCCATGGTACATTCAATATTCTCCACCAACACCACAATTCAAAAGCATCAATTCTGTGGTCTTCTTTATTCATTGTCGAGCTCTCACACTCATATGAGGCTATTGAAAAGACCATGGCTTGGGTCAGGCGCACCTTAGTCTTCAAAGTGACGTCTTTGCTTTTAAACACTTTAAGGAAGTCTTTTGCAGCAAATTTGCCCAATGCAATATGCCTTTTAATTTTTTGATTGCTGCTTCCATGGCTATTGATCATGGGTCCAAGTAAAATAAAATCCTTGACAACTTCAATCTTTTCCCCATTTATCATGATGTTGCTTATTGGGCCAGTTGTGAGGATGTTTATTTTCTTTACGTTGAGATGTAATTCAAACTGAAGACTGTGGTCTTTGATCTTCATCAGTAAGTGTTTCAAGTATTCCTCATTTTCAGCAAGAAAGGTTGTGTCATCTGCATATCACAGGTTGTTAATGAGTCTTCCTCCAATCCTTATGCTGTGTTCTTCTTCATATAGTCCAGCTTCTCAGATTATTTACTCCACATATGGATGGAACAAGTGTGGTGAAAGGACACAACCCTGACATGAACGCCTCTGGATTGTAAACCATGTAGTATCCCCCTTTTCTGTCTGAACCACTGCCTTTTGGTTTATGTACAGGTCCCACATGAGCACAATTAAGTGTTCTGGAATTCCTATGGATGTGATTTCAGTGTTGATTAGACTAAGATCTGGTGGCAGTATGCAGAACCAAATGAGAGGGGCATAGGGAACAGGAAGCCAGTGAAACAGATCAGATTTGCATTAATAAAGTTAAG